GACATATAGGCTAATGTTGGACTTGTGGGTTTGGGTAGCACTGGGTTGGGATGTTTTCTTGACGTGCACTTACCCTTTATATAAAATTCTCTCTTATACATATGAGTTTCTGTGGACTGGTTTCTCTAATGTACCTTTCTTTTCAGGCATGTCTAGCTGAGTACATTAACTCATTGCACTGACCAGGCCCTTGGAGGCCCATGGGGAAGGACACACTGCTGCTAGCTCGGGCCCTGCGGGGAGGGGATGGGGGACCACTGACGCTGATTTCTCTTCTTGCCCATTTTTGGATCTCCTTCTCTGCCACCACTGACCAACAAGCGGGCAGCTAACGGGCAGGGGATCCAGGTACATGGTTATTGGCAGGCAGCATCCCTGGCCCAGAGCCCAGTTTCAAGGTCTGGAGGGAGGGGGAGGGGGGGTTGCTGGTTCTGCCAGTGAGCTGCCTATGGAGTCGATGAGCCAGTGGGCGCGTGGATTTCTGCTCTGGAAGCAGACACAGCCCGTCACTGCGCTGTGTTGTCAGGAGGGAAGGTCCAGCCACCGGCGAACAGAAGGGCCTCTGTGCGCAGTCTCAGCCCTCCTCCCATTCTACACTGAGTTCCCGTCCCACTCTCCCCCACTCTCCCCGCCTCCGTCCCTGGGCAGCCCGCACCTGTAGGCTGGCATCTATTTTAAGGCTGTCATGAGGTCATCTGGAACAGTAGCAAACAGACAGCTGTGATTGTGACGTGCCAGCTAGACGGCAGAGAAGCCACCCGGCCTTCCTGAGATGCTGGCACAGGTAATGCCATCCTGTGTGCTCTTTGGGGCCAGGCCGGCCAGCAGCCCTTCACTACGGAGAGTCCTCTCTGGCCAGGGGTCCTCTGCCCGGTAAGCATGGCATCTGGTGGTTCGGCCCCCAAGTCTCCATGAGTCTGGGGCCACCGTGGCTATGTCAGACCTGCTAGCAGCGCTATCTCTCTGTGGAGCAGAGGCCCATGCTGCAGTCTGGAGCTACCACCACAGGAAGGCCAGGACTCCCTGCAGGTTGGATAGCCTCTGGTACTGGGCTCCGCGTCCCTACCCACACCCACACCACACCCACCCTGCTGCCCCCCAGTTGGTGGCCACACAGGGCAGCCCTATGGGATTGCAGGGGACTGCCCTGCAGGGATGCTGAGGATTGCCCTCTTTATGGGGACAGACAGCCCCGTCTTTCTCCCAGGGAGCAGCTGGTGGGTTTGACCCACGGGCAAGGTGCTTTGACTGCAAAACTGCCAGGGTTCCTTCCACTCCAAATGCGGGGCCCTGGTCTGGGGGAGACCGGAGGGAGGCCCAGTCTGGGGTCTTGGGGTGTCTCAGATTAGAAGTAGCCCCTCGGGACCATTGCTTCCAGGGCTTCTGTTCACTGGCTGTTGTGGGCTGTTGTCCTGAACTGCCACCGAGGGGGCCCTGGCTCATGGTGGCCCCACACACCAGAAAACTGAATGCTGGCTGGGCTGCACCATCCCCACAGGTGGCTAGGGGTCAGGCCATTGTCACCCATGGGGTTCTCATTACCTAATGCCTGGAAGCCAATCACCAGGCCTTTCTTCCTAGTCTGTCTCACTCTGGAAGTTGTGCTGAAGTCTGTTCCCCCGCACAGCCACATCCGGCTGTCAGGTGGGTAGTGGCTGCTCAGGAATTGAGCCAGGGTCTCTGGCATGGCAGGCAAGAATCCTACCTGGAGCCAGGCGAGTCTATCTGCTTCTGCACGGAACGTGACTGGTCGTCCTGCTGGCTCTGAGCATCACCACTCAGAAGCATTGCCCCCATTCCAGGTTCCCCCTCCCCCCCACATTCCACTGGAGCCCAAGGGCAGCTCCTGATTCCAGCAGGGAAGGAGGAAGAGGGGACAATTGGTGAACAATAATGAACAACCAGGTTTGCTTTGAGGACTGAGGTTGGCCTGACCCAAGCCCTGGTGTTTTCAGTCGCTGCCTACATGCAGGGGAGAGGTGGACACTGAATAAGGAAGAAGCATCGCTGGTGCTGGAGACGAATATTGAAAGTCCCATGGACGGCCAAAAGAAGGGACAGGTCAGTCTTAGAAAAAGTACAGCCAGAATGCTCCTATGTTAGACAAGGCTCTCCAGAGAAACAAAACCAGGACACTAATGATTATA